AAGACCCCCGCCCTCCCCCCAAATTGTGTTACGTAATACTTGAACACCCCCCAACTTTCACCATTTAATTAATTTCATTTTTGTCTTATTTATATAATAATTAGATGAACAGTATCACATCACGATTAATGGTGGTTAATATAGCACATAGCGCCATATTATAGCGCGCTATATCTCCATAACGCATAGCGCGTGCTATGTAAGTAGTCGCCATGGCGCTATGACGCTATGACGCTTTGGCGCTATTCATATCAAGTGGCAATTAGTTCTAGCAGCAGCGCTATTGGGAGTAGGCTTGTGACGCAAATTTAATCTAGCAGCACGCTATTCATCGCGCGCGAACTAATTTAGTGTTAGACGTTGTTTAGTTATTGTATACTGTATATTTATAAGTGATCGAAGGACACAGTTGCCTGCTACAAAAGAAGCCTAACTAATATTTTTAAATGTAAATAAAATATAAATACAAAGTGTACATAATAGTGTTGTACAAAATAGTTGATTTTTGTATATACAATCAATAAACTTTTAAACACACCTTTAATTGATTTATAATTTATATTAAGGTTAAAATAACGTTTACATCAATTATAATAAAAATTGATTAATTTTATTGTTTTTTTGGAAAGTATATGCCTTAAAAATATTTTAGGATTATAGAGTCGTAAGTAAGCCTGAAAAGTATGAAAGAGCGTTTATTGATTTCTCTTTACCACTTTATTTTATTTTAATCTAAAATGTGACTTATTACGAAATAATGTTGTTATATAGCACGCGGTCTCTATACAATGAACGGCATAATATAATGTTGCGTGTTCCGAGATATAGCGTGCTGTTAAACTTAACGCGCTTGCCAGCCTCCTACACGCTTTCTTATAAATAGCGCGCTATAACATACCGTATTTAATAGCGCGCTAGAAATTTATAATTTGTAGTCTGTAGCGTGCTATTGATTTATAGTCGTTTTGAAGAACTTTAATCACGATACCTGCAAGACACTCAGAGATCGATCAGGTTTTTTAACACACTGTATATTAATCATCAATGTAATCCTTTTTCAACTCCAACTTCTTTAGCCTTATCATAAGTCAACAAGCATGTACATATGTATATTGCATATCTTAAAAGATTCCACATTAATGTTACAGCATCATAGGTATATTGGTGATCGTAGAATTGACACCCTTGCACTTAGCATGTACGGTATGTATGCCGCTATTTTTTCACATTTGGTTCACAGCGTGAACTAAACGCGAAGTTTACATTTCTTAGATAGTGGTTACCTACCTAGAACAGTAGGCGTGTTGGTGAACGCAGACCAGACACTCGCAGAGTTAATACACGTTCAAGATTCGTCCTCTTTCAGTCTATAGTAAGTCATAAGAGCGTAGCCAACCGAGTAATGCAGTTGTGGCGTTCAATATACAAATGGTGGAGAGCAATTTGATTGAAGCACTAATTCCAGGCCATCCCGCCCAAGTCATAAGAGATAAATGTGAAATCTTAAACAGAATAAGGGCAGCAGAATCAAATCTTTAAGAAAGCGGCAACCATATCGCTTGTCAAATATGACAAACTATCCCCATGAGGAAATCTATGGGGGAGGCCTACGTTCAGCAGTGGACTTTTGATAGGTTCATCATCATCATCACATCTTATTAAAGTGCACTGCCGAACATAGGCCTTCTCCATAGATTACCTCATAAGGGGAATTTTGCCAAAGTTGACACGCTCGGCGAGCGGGTTGTCAACCGCAGTTTTACTATTTCGAGCTGATATCAGGAAGATGCCGCTGCCCATCTCCTGTTTCAATTTTCCTCTGTCGCCTCTTACGACACCCACGGAACTACACGGGGTAGTGGGTATTCTTACACCGCCACTACACGGTTTTGGTTGGTTGTAATAATTTAATGAATGAATTTTAACCGCTAAATTCTAATCACGCACAATGTGACAGAACTTTTATTCTCATTATTGGGATCGTAGAATTCACCAAAATGCATTTTTCCCGGAATTTTTGGCAACGCATGACCACGTTGCGAAATTTACTGTCGCCAGCTGTTTTACAGTACAGAATAACATAAGGACCAAAAAAAAAACGTTCTTTCTGAATTCTGCCTCTGATGTGGATGTCCACGCAGCGGTGGCCATATAGCATTTACCGTCAGGTGAGCAGCATGCTCGTACCTCGTACCCACCACCCAATACACCGGAGCGGCAAAACCACCAACTTAATGCTTTTAGTGGTACGAAACCATTTTGCAGTGGCCTCACCGCCACGACAAAGTATCTTTCATTTCGCTGTGATATTTTTTTTCCTGTGTTTAAAATACTACGTCACGGACTTACGGACTTCGAAGTCCCGTTTCGTTAATTTTCACACGCAACAATAAAAATGTATTTAGGTAAAAAAGAAATGAAAACAGCAGTTGTTAATATAACAAATTTATTTCAGCCTATATCGAAGATATCTAACTGTACACCGTCGAAGGACTAAGTATATGAAGAAAATTAATTCGCACCGAAGTAAACTACTATTTGGTCTACGAAGGAGAACACAAATTCTACATAATTTAAAATTAATTATGCACTCAATTTTTGCATTGACATGCATTAAGAAACTTAGTTGGTTTGGTCCGTAACACAAAAGCGACACGCACATTTTGTGACACGTTAATGTAAAAAAATCAGAATAAGAAAAATAATTATGTCTGTAAGGATTACTGTCATTTTCTTAATCAATGACAAAAAGTACCTATTTTTTTCTTCAAAACAACCATCAAGTAAACTTTTATCAGTCACATATTTTATGCCGCATTATTTATTAATCTATGTTACATTACGTAACTTTAATTATTTTGTATACTAACAAAATATTATATGTCGCGATTAATTTGACAAGTTGTATAATTTTATGAAATACTTTCTAAATTTAAGATGTAACGAAGTTACAACAAGAACGAATTATTCGTCAAAAATTTATTTAGCAAATGAAAAATTTGCTAAAAGAATTTTTGACTAGTAATGAATAATATGACTATAGTAGGATGTAATATGAATATAGTAGGAACAAACAACAATGAAAATATTAGTTGTTATCAAAGCAGGAGTGAATTGATTTTTATCTGTCGGCACTGGTTTAAAAATACTTAGTAAGCAATATTTCAAAAACGGTAAGATAAAATAAATATTTCGACTACGGTCAAATAATATAATTTATTTTTGATTCAGGGTATTGCATTACGTAATATTAACTGTTCTGATACCCAATAGTTGTTGAATTTAGTAATGTTTTGTTGCTTCCTTTAATAATTTAGACTTAACATGGTTTCCTAAATAAGGCCTAGATCATACTAGAGCAATAATTTTCAGTACATGCTTATTAATCTGACTGCAAGGTTTTTCATTTGAAACAACTGACTGTCTTCTTTTACAAAAAAATCTAGTATTGAGAAAGAATACTTTCTTACTCACACAATATAAAACATAATAGTAATAAAATAGTTTTAAAACAAATAAATTTATCAGTTAGTGATCATAAATATTTAGAAGTAAAAATAGGACCTGCTGATTATTGACAATATAATTTTATTTTCGTAAAATTTTATTCGTACTTTTGGGTGAAAAAATCTAAACCACGCACGCCATAACAGTTCTTAATGACTTGTGCTTAAATAATATAATTGTATCTTCAACTACACTATTTACATGGAAGCAAACCAAACGCACAGGCATAATAAAAACATACAAGCCACTTTTATGCACGGTATATTTTATATCACGTGCTACTACAGTAATCTCGTCATTTTGAATATGTTGGATCTAGTGCTTAGATCTCTGTGACCACCAATTTTCTTAGTAAAAATTAGGGTAAATCGATTTAATTAAAGAGAAACCTTATATCTAGCTTTAGGCTGTTAACGGGAGTAGGCATTTGTAAATGCAGTGTAGTGGTGACGTAAGAGAACCCACTATCCCATGTCATCCCGTGGATGCCGTGACAGGCAACAAAGGTAAATGACACAGGAGATCAGCAGCAACATCTTCCTGATAACTCTAAATAATTTAAAAAAAAAGTTCGTGAAATTTGACACTTGCTGCCAAATTCCATACTTTAATTTCCTTTTAATTCGCATATTCTTTTTCACGGGATTTCTCTATTTGCATATACAAATTTTAGAAACTAATGGACGACACACACGGTCAGTTCAACTGATCATTTCAAACTAGGACTGTTAATATTTTTTAAAATATCGGATTATCGATATATCGATAAATAAACTTAATTACACATAAAACTCAGAAATTGATATATTTATAATTATCGATATATGTGTGGGTACATTAGACTAATTATAAGCTAGTTTCGGTAATAAGATTTTGAAGTTTCATTTTATATAAAAATCGAAAATATTAACGTGGTAGAGCCATGTTGCATCTATATTGTAACACGGGGTAGAGCCACGCTCTCACTGAATAGCAGCCTTAAATATCAGCTTAATACTAGTGTGTTTCGTATAGTGAATGTGCAGAACGGTAGATACGTTGTACTTAAAATAAGGCATTCCATCTTAGTCCTCAGTCGACAACAAATCTTTATATGGATTCTTAATTGAGGATAGATGTAGATGTCTACTGGCTACAGCATCCATTTACCATAAGTAGACTGTGTGCCCGTTTGTTACCTTAATTTTATTTAAAAAAAAAAAACACACACGACATATACACAAATATTTGAAATGGGTTTAAACAAAATTTATTTCTTTTGGAACCTATTTCTTGCACAAGCGTGACCGCTAACGATCCGGAAGCACATATTTCTATTTTTAGGGTGCTAATTAAACTAACATTGTTGTATTTTTTAATTCAATCCAATCACGACATTTAAAACGAAAACTCCTCGATACCGAGATTTAATTTGTCTTACGTTTACCAAACATAACAGTGGCTTGTATACTATTGTATATAATATTACTATATTAGGTGAATAATATATATTTTCAGAGGCTGAACAGATCACCGGCAGAGGGCAAAGGCGCCAAGCCTCCAGTAACATCGGGCAACCTCGACACATCGGGCAGATTCTCAATGTGTGATTTAACTTCCGCTTTAACTGCATAGATTTTCTGTAGTTTAATATTGTATTCCTGCAAATCAAGCAAAACATATACACAACACATGTAAATAGCATTTCATTTCTTAATCATAGCCTATAAAAGTCCTCTATTAAACATAGGTATCCTCATGATTGCCTCATGGGATATTTACCATAATTGGATCGCTTGGCAAGGAGATCGACGACTGTGGTTTTTTATTTTTTTGAGTTATCAGGAAGCTGTTGCTTTTTTTATAGGATAGGGCGACAAACGAGCACACGGCCCCCCTGATGGTAAGTGGTAGATATCTACATCTACATAGACATCTACATATATACATATATCCCATAGACATCTATCCTCGAATACAAATCAAAATGCAGATGCGTTGTCACCCGTGAGTGACTAAGATGGAATGCCTCGTTTCCAGTAAAAAGGGTCTCCGGTTCTCTACACTCACCATACGAAACACAGCAGCATTAAGCTACTATTTTATGCTGATATTCTGTGAGAACGTGGTCCTTCCCCGATCGAGCCGACCCATTCGTGCTACAACTATACTACTAAAATGCAGCATGGCTCTACAGATATTACTGTGCTTCTCATGTGTTTTATTTCTCTTTGTCGCATTTTACGATACCCAGAATGATACGACTATCTTAGGCCGCCACTACACGAACACAAGCCTAACCATCGTCAAAAAGCGCTAGCAACGCTTGTAAGCAAAATAGCGAAACTAAACTGGCACACGTTTGCTAACTTCAATCCGCCATTTTGCTTATTTAATTTGTTTGTTTTGAAGTAGTTTATAAATTGTTTTGTCGCATTTTACGAATAAAGACATGAATAGACATATACATGTATAAATTCACTATATTAATTAGGTCCGAACACCGTTCCTAAGGAAAATACTACACAGACAACACACACAACTAGCTTTTTTCTCCAAACCAATATTCGCATAGAACATAGAATACTATAATACATACACAATAGAACGCGGGAGTGGTCGGAGCCCGTGTAGCCACTAAAATGCCACTAACACGTCAAGTCACACGTATAAATGTCAACACGAGATGTGATCGTTGTGTGCGTTCGCATGCAAATTGTTTAGAAAATGCCAAATCGCACGCTATTTACAAATAAATATGTATTAAAATCCGTATGTCAACACAGCGAATCGGGCTTGTAGTAGTGATTAACTGATAATACGACGTATTACTTGTATGTGTGCTCCCGTCGACGCCTATCCCCTTACAAAGTAAGGTTGACAGGCATTCTATTGTGTATTATAGTATTATATGGCATAGAACCATGCTGCAGTTATATTGCAGCACCGACAGATCTACAGTAAAATAACCAGACCCAAACGCAAGCCTTATCTTAGTAAATTACTTATTCTTAATCGATGGAGTAGATGCCTATGGAAACCTCCACTTTTTTCATTATGGCTGAAAGACCAGTATCACTGCGACCTAAATGATCTATTGTGATCGCTGCTATGGCTATAGGTCACTGCAAGCCTTATATCTTCAATGAATTGAAAGAGTTGCTTAACTATACTGGGGCTAACCCCACTTTATCTACATATACAACAAGAAGCTTTAGCTTAGGCTTTAGCTGCCATTAGACTCAAGACCCTAAATATTTTAAGTAAGAGTAGAGTCCCCCATACAGGTATAATTGATAGAATTTACTGAAAAATTCCTGTCTTACAAGCCAAGTACGATAGGATCCCACATTTTTATTCGATAAAAGATAATTAAATGAAAAAGAGTTAAGCCTAAAAAATACATTTCTCAATAAGTGTAGGACCTAGAACTTTCTCTGAAGACCTTAATACGAGAGGCAGACTGAAATAATCGGGAATAGAATATTTTGGATTGAGTTACAATAAAACCTTTTTTTAGAATTTGAATACTGGCCATTAAAATCTTAATGACATTCAAACAATTAAAAATAAGTTGACTTCAAGAAAAGAGCTTACTCCTTTCAAAAGGGCCGGCAACGCACCTGCAATTCCCCTGGTGTTGCGGTTGATCATGGGCGGCGGTAGTCACTTAACATCAGGTGAGCCGCATGCTCGTTTGCCCCCTCTTCTATAAAAAAAAAAAATTCCATGCCATAATTTATCACAATTTCCATCGCGGCTTATCTTAAGATAAATGTCTCAGCGAACTTGTTTCGATTTAAGATTTTGAAGCACCGAGTCAAATGACAATATACCGCTGGTATGCCGAGTTCCGACACGGTAGTGTGTCGCTCAGCACTGTTTCTTCTGCAGGTCGACCAAGAACAGCGGCACGCCTGAAAACATCGCAGCTGTGCGAACTATAATACTAGATGACTGTCATGTGACATACGAGCAGATTCGGGCTGTTATCAGTATCGGAATGACTGCAATTCAGTCGATATTACATAATGAGCTGTGTGTAAGAAAGCTAGTTTCCCGTTGGGTTCCCCACAATTTGTCCGAAGAGCTAAAGGCGGCTCGTGTAGATTGGTGCAGGAATACTCTGCAACGCTTCAACGGAGGGAAGTCAAATGCCGTTTATAATATCGTCTCAGGTGACGAACCATGGATTTATTCATACGAACCTGAAAGAAAACATCAGTCAGTAGTTTGGGTCTTCGAAGACGAGGTCAAACCAACGAAAGTGGTTCGCTCCCGCAGCGTGGCAAAGAAAATGGTCGCAACGTTTGTCTCGAAAAAGGGGTGTTCATACTGTCATGTTGCTACAATTCCTTTACAGTAACGGAGAACGGTTACTGCTGAGTGGTATATCACGGTTTGTTTGCCAGAAATGATAGCGGAACTCCAAAAAATAACCCAAAACGTAGTGTCATCTTACATCACGATAATGCGAGCTCCCATACGGCTCGGAAGACAAATGATTTTTTGAAGCAGGAAAACGTTCAGCTGAAGAGCCATCCTCCATACAGTCCTGACCTGAGCCCAAACGATTTCTTTACATTCTCTAGAATGAAAGATTTATTACGAGGTCAACGGTTTGAAGACCCCGAAGCAGCTGTGGAAGCATACAAATCAGCCATTTTGTCAACATCAACTTCAGACTGGAATTACTGTTTTAATGATTTGTTTGCACGAATGTAAAAGTGCATTAAGTTGAACGGAGAATTCTTCGAAAAACAATAAAATTCAATTTAACTATACCGTGCATGAAGTTTTTCTTATTCCCGATCATTTCAGTGTGCTTCTCGTATCCACATGCACACCGCCGGGTGCCCATAACACAGTCTTCCCGGCTGAATGTATGGGTATCATCCAAACGACCGTAGCAATATATGCTAGGAAGGTAAAAGACTTCTCCATCAGAATACTGACCGACAGTATGGTGGTACTACAAGCTCTGAGTTGTAATGAGGTATGTAAGCACAACAATGTGACTCTGCAATGAATCAAGGGACACAGCAGATCTAGAGGCAACGATGCAGCAGATGAGCTGGCCAGAAGGGGATCGGCTCTGACCACTATGGGGCCGGAACCAATAATACCAATCCCCTTTGGCAATGTTCGTTCACTGGTACATAGAAACTTCAATAATTTACACGCTCAACTTTGGAAAAATTTAGTAGACTGTAGACAAGCTAGGGAGGCCTTGCCTGAAATAAACAGTCGCCTAACCAAGGTTCTAATGAGATTGAACAAGCCACAAATCAGGATAGTAAGAAGTGCTATCACAGGACATGACTCTTTTAACAAACATTTGTTTACTATAGGTGTTACAGATAGCCCCCTGTGCAGGGCATGCATGGGGGAGGAAGAAACAGCGGCTCACGTGTTGCTGACATGTCCGGAAGTCGCTTCATACAGGGCTAAACATCTCGGCACGCCGGGATCGCTCCCCGAAGTTGCTTGCAACATCAAAGGACCGTTGAACTTCTTCGCGGAGATTTCATGGCTCTAATAAGCACATTATTAAAACAGCCCGTCGTAAACTAAACTAAACTAGCTGTGAGCAATTTCACTTCTTTGGGCGGAGTACATAGTTTCCCAGATGTGTGTTACGTTTGCGCATTAAGGGTCCGCAATCAGTTAGGATCTGCAGAGGCGTTTCTTCCGTTATAGAACAGAACCGGCACATCCTTGAGTTGCTTTGTCCCAAGATGGACATGTGCTTCTTAAGACAGCAGTGTCCAGTTAAGGCTCTTGTTAGAATGCGCAATTTATTTTTGCTTTATCTCAAGTTTTAGAATGTTTTAAGACTGGTGTGTCAGACCAGATCTTAAGTGATTTATTGTGATAGAGTTTCAAGGGTCAATCGGGCTAGGTTTGTTTAAATTTCACAAAATGGCTCAGGTCCAAATTGTGTACAGCATCCACTTACTATGTGGACTGTGTGCTCGTTTGTCACCATTATTGTATAAAAAATACAATAACCTTATCCTACGGCTTGATGAATAGTGTATAATAGACAAAACACACTCTATTCCCTCACTCTCATAATTCCATGGGACGGTAAACCGACACGACCGGAGAGGGACCAGGCGCAGCACCAACAGCTCTACGTGCTTTTCGAGGCACGTGGGTGAGACACTGTGACTCCTGGCAGCTACTTATAATTTCTTGACGGAAAAACTTAACAACGGATTTTTTGGCCAGACCCGGGACCTCATGATAAGCAGCCGCGTTTACAGCCACTAGACCAACGACGCAGTCATATTCTGGATAACAACACTGAAGCATTTCATGTTGGTCATTAGGGGTGACGAAGCACTTATAGGTTTCTTAGTTTGAAGTTGGTTAACGGTCTCATTTGCTATGTGCTGGCGACGCGACAAAATACACCCCACGATTATGAGAAATGGTAGAGACCTCATGATTTCCGATAGATGGCAGTATAAGTCTCATTTTTATCAGACCAAAAATACCCAGATTTGATGACCCAGACAGAGAAATCTTGATCACCAGTCTGCCTGTAAAGGGATTCTGCATATTGAACTTTAGCGGTGGAAGGAATAGGTGAGATCTCCCGCCGGGCAAGGTGTTCTGCCCAGGGAGCGACCAACGCTCCGTGTGATAGTTCGGAAATGTTCTATATATACTGTTTATGATTCGGAATTTTGATAGCGTGATTTTAGGCTTCGATGTGTTTCGCTTGCGGCGCGACGACAGCGCCGCCACATCACCCCCCTGCTCAGACCGGAGGTCGATAGTGTCGCCTCGTTGCCGACGAATGTGCAAGTGCCAGGAGATTGCCTTGTAGTCAGCGGTGAGTCGAGAAGAAGGCAAGGCTCAGAGCCGTGCCGAACACTGTAGCGCAGAGTGTAGCTTGAAGGAACAGGAAGCGTTCATGCGAATTATTCCAGTGCTGCGATGAACATTGTGAAGCTAGCTGGCTTGCAGGATATAAAGACTGCAGTTGATATCTGCTCGGGAGCGAATTGGTGGGGTATTCTATGATGATGATGAAGCTTGAAGTTTCCGAAGGTTGTCGGTTGCGTGTTAAGATCACGTCGGGGTTACCATATTAGCGGTGGAAGGAATAGGGGAGATCTCCCGCCGGGCAAAGTGTTCTGCCCGGGGAGCGGCCAACGCCCCGTGATAGTTTGCCGAGATTTCTATATATACTGTTTATGATTCGGAATTTTGATAGCGTGATTTAGGCTTCGGTGTGTCGCTTGCGGCGTGACGACAGCGCCGCCACAGAACAACGGGAGAGCCTTATCCAGCTGGATTTATGTGCTGACGAAGAAGAGTATCTGCTATTAGTTGGACTGTCAGCTCGTTTGTCACGGTAATCTTTATACATATGTAAAACTCTTCTGTCCGAGTGTATGTGTCTGAATTCCTCCTAAACCGCTAGACCGATTTTTCTGAAATTTTGTGTGTATGTGTGTGTGTGTGTGTGATTAAGTTGATTCGAAATTGGTTTAGATTCACGATAGGACCCGGTAGGTGGCGCTGTTGTCGAGATCCAGAAATCACTCGTGCGAGCCAAGGGCGGATCGCTAGTATTTATTTATTTTATTTAAAAGCTTTATTGTTCTAGTTATAAAGGTTACAACGGGCGGAATTAATGCCAGTTAGCATTCTCTGCCAGTCAACCCATGGCGTGGTGAGAAATTAGTGGCAGGTGACTTAAATAGCCAAATACAAAAAATTTATTAGATATAACACAAATTAAAATAAGACTAAGTATTATTATAAACAAACCAGCTCGGTCTTCCTGGACGGGATTTATTAATGTGAAATTACTTAAATTTAAGATGATAAAAAACCATTTATTTTATCAATCAACTGCCGAAGATTTTCGAATAAAACTTAGCCTAGATCACTCCTGACGTTGCTCTCTATCTGCTCGTAGTTTCATTACAATCTGTTCAGTCATTTCGGAGATTATACGTAGTGCACGAAAGTCTAGCGGCGACTGTTATTGGGCAAAAGTTGATAATAAAGTATCATGTGGTAGTAAACGGGTAGCGGGGCGGGCGTCCGTGCGTATCGTTCGCACGCGCAGATTGGCTACTGCCACTTGCGTACGTACATCACGTACGTATGGTACTCATACGACATGCGCTTCTATCCTCTGCACGTTTCGTTCAGCGCTAGACTTACGTGCCGCGACTTGTAGTCCGGACAGATAGAGAGACATTTTGACAAATGGTTGTTTTTGTCTTAATAATATGCAAACGACCCCCTAAACTTAAACGAAACCAGTTATATCAATACTACAGACGGACACTTCAATTTTATTTATTAAACACGTAATAAAATTGAAGTTTCTGTTTGTAATAATAAATTTATTATTAAAAAAAACGGAAAATACAAAACAGTACTATACCTCAAGTCTAGCCTCCGCTTGCTTAGCGAGATCTCGCTGTGCTTGAGCAAAGTCCCTTAACATGCCTGCAACCTTTCTTCTCTTTTCTAACTCCTCTGACAATCTTAGATTGTATTCAGCTAAGAGTTCCACAGCTGAGTTCACTATGGCACTGAGGCTTAATGCGGATTCCTTATCTATAACATTATAAAGTATCTTTTATTTAAATAATTATGGATTTAAAGCTGCCGTGTAGTGGCAGCCTAGGAGCATCCAATACCTTATATATAGTTCCGTAGGTGTCGTAAGAGGTAACAGAGGAAAATGGAACATAATTATCCAGCTGATAACTCGAAATGAGTAAACTGCGGTTGCAAATAAACCTTCCAATTGTGACAATAAAGGCATATGTACTTCCCATGAGGGAGGCCTATGTTCAATATTAAACTCTTCATATGCTGCAATAAATAAATGAATCAAGTATAGAAAGATTTCGTATAAGACTCTGACATGAGTTATTTTTGTTTATGAAATTGAAATCACAAACGAACTTGCCATCAACTTGAAAGATGGCTACAGATGCGTTGTCGCCTATGAGGACCAAGATCGAATGCCACACAGCCTTTATTTATACTGGCTCTCCACTCCATACCCTCCATACCACAACACAGTAGTGCACGCATTGCTGCTTGGGGGCAGAAATAGGTAAGAAGTTTTTATCTACCCACACTTCTGCAGGTAGCTGTAAGTTAATATGTCAGCTATGGAATTAATTAATAAAAATTGAAGCCCCTTGTACTCATCAAATCAAATCAAAAATATTTAATATCTCCTGTTGTAATTATAGTGCATACTGGCCACAAACATTAGTAAATGTTATTAGAAAAAAAAAATGTTTTTGTTTTTCGAATTTCATTTATTTTTATGTTATTATTGCGTAATATTGTTTTTTCATACTACGAAAACTTGTGCCAACATTTGAATTTGAGTTTAAATTAAAATTTTATATAAATTTTTGCCTTAACTGCCTTATTTATTGTGTTAAGTGTGAATTGTTACTGCAAATAAACTGAAAATGCCAAATACTAAACGCTTTTAATTGAAACTGCACACACCTACAAACATGTGGAGTTTTTTACAACATTACGAGTATCAAAATGTATACCATTGGCAGAACAGACAGTATGCGAGACTAGCAGGACAGGGACGTAAACGAAACTGTGGCCAGAGATGACCAGTTCATCGTTACCAGCATGCTTAGAAACCGAACCATTACTTCTTCTGAGGTAAGAAAAAATCTCCAAGAAGTTCGAGGGGTTACAGTAAGACAAATACTGTAAGAAAAATACTGAAATCGGATGAAATAAATTCACATTTGCCTGCCAGACTGCCAGAGGCCCACTTGCCACATCTCATCGAGTAGCAGTTGCAATTTTAAATTAATAAGCAATATTCAAATTGATAACTTATTTGTCACAAATATCTATGACATTGTGTTTAATTATAGATTATATTTTTTCGAGTTCCTCTAAATTTGTCCATGAGTGTATTTACAGAATATATTATTTTAGGATTCTAGGCGTTATATTTTGCAGTTTAACAGTGAAGTTGACTGTGACTTGTGGTTGTTACTTTTAACAACATTATATTCAATTCCTTTTTAGTTTACTATAAGCGTTAACAATTGTAGATAGTCATCTTGGTTAATCCTGCAGGTGGCACTTACATTGATGCGCTGATTGTGCATCCACAGTAATATAATAATGAATAACCCTTTATGAATTCACCCAGAAATCATAAAAGTAATTAATTTCACTATTACAAAGAATAAAAAATCCCATACCCTTACATGGACCGGCACGATTGACATGAGTAACCAAATAAAAGACAGGGAAAAAACTAAAAACTACATGCACTTTCACAGTTGAAAGTATTAATAAGAATATTTGTTTATTCCTTAATACACCGGGCACATGGATTGGGCAGCGCAATTTGTATCCTCACTATGATAATGCTGTTTGATTGGGAAATTAAAATGGGGTTGATGTAAAACTGGGAAGGAAGGATTGCCTAACACTTTAGTTTTTAGGAGAAATTAAAATATTTTCTTTACGAATTATCGCGCTGCGTGAAGGTGAAGGGACAAGGAAACAAGTTGACGCGAAAACTAATAGTGTTTTAAGTGCGTCAAAATTACAATATAAGCTATTCAGACGCTGCGGAAGTGCAGCCCTTCCGTTCTTGCAGGCTTGCTGTATTATTATCACACATATCACAGACAAGAATATTTATAATTAGAATATTTGCAATTATAAGGCCGGTAAATTTGTGTTTAGAGTTCCAGGATGGATTTTCTAACATCGCTGATGTCGCTATAGCTTCATCCGTAAATCTGCAGGGTACACCTCAATTTGTATGTTATTAAGATGCGGTTTACATAAAATTTAGGTATTTTAACTTAATACTTGATGATAACATAATCCATTAGTTTACACAGAAGTGTCATAAGTTACCAAAAAAAAAAGACAGTGTTCATTGGATTGCTATACAATTATTTGTATTTACGAAATGCTATAACATAATTTTGTTGTGTTCCTATATATTTGTTCATCTCCTACGATAATGTTAAATTTTTTTAAACTAATTAAATGGAGTGTGAATTGTGGATTTATGTAAAGCCAGCAATACATGTTGGCCAAGCCTCAGCCAACGCGAGCGTAGGCAAATTGATATAAGGCGAGTGCTACAGTAAGGATTGCCACCTTTTTTGAGTAAATAAAGTAAGGTAGGTGTACCATGGAAGGCCACTCTAACAAAATAACGGTTATTATTCGTTTATTTACTGGATAAATGAAACTAACAAATATTTAAGTAATACTTTGTTGATGACAAATGAGAATAAAGTATATTTATTTGACATCCTATTTTATCTACACAATATCTTTATCACATAATAGTTCCTTTCATCCCATCACCTAGCATTTGTCAAAAAATATACACTATATAAATAATACTAAAATGACGAGAATGAATAGCAGATATGATACACAATTTTGTATATAAGTTCACAAAATCAATAGTACATAGAAAATTATTTAGTCTGTATATAATTCTTTTTTAAACATTAAAATAAAACCTTGAATATATGTAGTAGAATTTTCTCTTAGCCTCATAAAAGTATAATTGCCCGAAATAGTGTACAATACTTTATTCAGGCGAGCGCCTTTGATTTGTGCAGAAAAACCGACACTGTTCCGCAGTGAGACGAGTCGTGGCGAGCTCCAGAGTTGTGGCAAGGAACGTCAAACGAACCATATTCATGTCGGCGCTCAACTGCCCTCGGTCAGCTAGGCGAGCGACGATGAGCAATGGCGATTCTAGACAAATGTTCTGTCTATATTTTGGTACTCGCCTTCCTCAGTGAGCTAAGTCCAACGTGTATAGCCGGCTTAATATTGTGTAGTTTGTATAAAGATGCATTTCATTCTTAGAAGATAGAGATATAATTGGAGTAAAAAACTAACTGATTTAAATAATTATGATTAGATCTCGTTGAGATTTAAATGACACTTCTGTGAAAGTATATTCAAAAAAAATCATCTCATTTAGTTAACTATCTTTGAACAAATTGTGTAAAATAGTGTTATTGATATATCCTGTATACCTTGAAGTTTTAAATCGTTGTTTGTTTTAAATAAATGAAACAAAATTTACAGGTCAACATTTATTTGTACAGGTATTGAAATAATGATTTTAAATGAACTACAAGGTGGAGTACAAAAGCTGCATGATGCGGTTTGTAATGAAAATTGCCATTACCTTCTAACTTAGATAATAATTGCACTTCCGACACTTCTGGGGGCAGTGAAGCAATTCTTTCCCTTACTGCTTCATCACTTGATGCACTTGATTCCAATTCCAATAAAGCCTGAAAAAAGCCACGATATATTAAAAGCTTTTATACATTTGATACTGGTATTTTTAATTAAACATTGAAAATTATTCAACGGTTAATTAAAAATATGAATTTTGATTGCATCAGCGTCATTATCCTAAGTAAGAAAACTCTACACTCATTCTCTTAATATTCATGAGTACCTAGACGACCGAGCCTAGCTTGCCATTAGAATTTTTTTCTCAGATATGGTTGACATCTATGTAAATAAATTTTAAATAAAACATTTATCTTTAAATCAAAGTCAATAATTTCATAAAAATTGGTAGGGCTGTTAACGGGAAACCTGTTCTATACATACATAAACATAAGAATTGCTCACATATAGTATATGGATGCGAAACTTGGACTATAAAAGATCTCCATAAGAAACTGGAAGCATTTGAAATGTGGATGTATCGCCGTATGCTCCGAATAAGTTGGACAGACAAAGTTACCAACACTGATGTTCTCAAGCAGATGAAAAGGAATAAGCTCCAACTTGTCAAAACCATCAAACAGAGAAAAGTTGCGTACCTAGGACACGTGCTAAGACATGAACCATTTTATTTTTATATTACCATTATATTACCAACTGCTGCAGACTATTACGATGGGCAAAATAACGGGTAAAAGAAGTGTTGGTAGAAGGAAAATGTCCTGGCTCTGTAACATCTGGAAATGGACCAGGACAAAGAAAGTAGAAGATCTGTTCAGGTTAGCCCTGAACAAGGAATTTAAGAGGATGACTGCCAACATTATATTTACCGCCAACATTATAACACTTAAAGAAGAAGAAGTATAGGATATCAACTTTTTAATTTTTATACCAGGTTATAAACAAACAGAGTTCACCTGATTAAAAGTAAATACAATGGCACACAAAAGTAAAACTAAATGTGTCGATGAGTCATAGTAATATAGCTCTATTAAGAAACAAAAGCAGATGTAATGTTGTCCCTGAGAACTAAGATAGAAAGCTTCTTTGCAAATAATAATGGTCTGCAATTCCCTACATTCATGATATGAAATACCAAGTTGACGGCTTTGCAGCAGCATTATTTGCAAAAAAAACCACATCGCTAATATTTAGGGTGCGTCGAAGTCCCAATAGCATTCAGCAAATCTTAGCAGATAGATCCACGTCCCACTTTGGGCCTGCTTTGTGAGGAGGGTTATTTTAAAATACGGTTCATCATCATCATCATTACAGCCCTTCACAAGTCCACTGCTGAACATAGGCCTCCCCCAAGTAATGCCACAAAGCACGGTCCTGAGCCACCTGCATCCATCGACTTCCTGCATGCCTTACCAGGTCGTCACTCCATCTAGTGGGGGGTCGCCCTACACTACGCCTACCGGTACGAGGCTGCCACTCGAGAACCTTTCTTCCCCATCGGTTATCGGTTCTTCGAGCTATATGGCCGGCCCATTGCCACTTCGGCTTACTAATCCGTTGGGCTATGTCGGTCACTCTGGTTTTACTGCGGATATCCTCATTTCTGAGTCTATCACGCAGTGAAACTCCGAGCATAGCCCTCTCCATAGCTCGCTGAGCGACCTTGAGTGTCCTCATACGGCCAGCGGTGAAGGACCACGTCTCAGATCCGTAAGTCATCACTGGCAACACACACTGGTTATACACTTTAGTTTTCAGAGATTGAGGTATACCTGACGAGAAGATGTGTCGTAATTTCCCGAACGCTGCCCAGCCGAGTTGAATCCGTCGATTGACCTCTCGGTCGAAGTTGGACTTACCTAGTCGGACTATTTGTCCCAGGTAAACGTACTCGTCAACAACTTCGAGCATAGTGCTCCCAAAAACTACCGGCATAGGTGTGACATGGACATTAAACATGATCTTTGTTTTGTCCATGTTCATCTTAACACCATTGAGGTCATTGAGCATAGTGCTAAGGTCCTCCAGCGATTCTGCCATAAGGACTATATCGTCGGCAAATCGAAGGTGAGTGATGTACTCGCCATTGATGTTAATACCGTATCCTTTCCAATCCAATAGCTTGAAAACGTCTTCCAACGCAGCGGTGAAGAGTTTCGGGGATATAACATCACCCTGTCTTACACCTCTCTGCAGTTGGATAGGTTTCATACTCTCGTTCTGTACTCGGATAGCCATCGTAGCCCTACTGTACAAACACTTCAGCACTTCAATATACCGACAGGCAACTAGGCAATACGGTTATTTAAATTAAATTCAAATTAACTTTATTTCGATATTTTATTTTGATTTAATTTAATTTAATTGACATTAATAATTGCTTGATTTCAATCGATTTTTATTTGATTTTCTTGTTTGATTGTATTTTATTTTAATTCTATTTTGACATTACTATTATATGATTATTATTTTTTGTTTGATTTTACTGTGAATTCATTTTGGGTTTAGATTTGATTTTAGTTTTTATATAATTTTATTGTATTTTATTTTCTTAACTACTAACCTAAGCTAAGTTATACTAACAACTTCTGATCTTTGACATCTGAAATAAAGAATTATTATTAATATTATATTGTATTTTTTAAATATATCTGGCTTACTTTTTTCAGATATATGTTTTTAACTAAGCAAATACAAAACACAGTTAAGCATTAAAACAACCTAAATGTATGCAATACAGCTGCATCACATTAGTAACAACAATTGTGATGTATGAAAAGGTACCCAGAATGACAAACCAAGTTTGACAAAAAATTTAAAATTCCAATCATTTTCATAATTTAAACTTAATTTCAATGACATTTGGTACACGAGCATAAATCGAAACAAAAAATAAATATAAAAATAATAATTAAATATGATGGGAGCAAAACTGTCCCAAGTCATATTAGAGGGTGAATAAATTTTGCTGTCCAAAATGTGCTCTCCAATACTTGCGACAGAAACAAAATAACCTAAAACCGCAATGGCCTGTATAAATAGCTGGCATTGACTAAATACATTACTAGAAAATAACAATAATTTTGTAATCAAACCTTAATTAACTCCTCCGGTTCTGGGGGGTCGCCGGGTGGAGTTTTAGGGCTAAGTGTAATGTGTGTCTCTATATGGCCATCAACCTCCACTTTTGTTTCACTGCGGCGTCTTTCACGGTTTTCCTTATTTTCCAACTTTGGCTTCTTTTCAGTCTCCTTGATATCAGTGTCTGATGATTTACGTTTTTTCACTTTAGGAATTGCGTCATTTGGATCCACTGGAAATAGTTATTCTAGTCAAAAAACTAAGAAATATATTTTATATACCTTTTAGAAAAATCAAGATGTCCATTGTACACTTATAAAAGTAGGAACACATGAGAAATAAAACCAATCAAAGCCTCCTATAAGCTATTACAAGCTATAACAGGTACACTACTACAAGCCTAAGGCTTGTCACATTCAGGGAGAAATTGCTTTAAACCGGCTTAGCCAGTGCTCAAACTCAGGGAGTACATGTCGCACGTAAAATATAAAGTAAAACATAACAGTGAAAATATGGTTTACTGTATTATGTGTAAGAACAATAATAGAATATATACTTATATATTCTATATAACAATAATAGAATATATACTTACATACAATTAATAGTAATTATTAAAAATTTAATAAAAATATCTAATTTTTTAAGTATCCCAAAGACCCTAAGTTATAGTACTTGATTATTATTTATTAGTTTTAATGTGGTAGATAGAAATCTTATACTATACGTCAACAAATTTATTGCATTTGTTGAATTGCTTGAGCAAAAATTTCATGAATACTATGACTTCAAAATAATCGTTGTTAATATTGAAAGTGATATTCAAAAACGATTGCAAGCTTGTATATGCCATATGAGTGCTTTCTATTAGACTATTTAAGAAAGGAACTTCAAATTACACTTAAAATTTACCATTCAACTAAAAGACACAAGTTATTTAAAAACAAAGAATATGAAAATAAAATATTAGAGTAAGTAGCCTTTGTAAAAAATATTGATAAAATTATATATATCAATATTTTTTACAAAGGCATATTGTTTACAGTTAGAGACAGAGTAGCACGCTCAGAAAGCCACGCCCACCATGCTTTCACGGCAAGTACAGCCTCATTACCGACGATCTCGGATGATGCATCCTACGGGACGTCATGGTAGTACGGACTTTTCTATCCAGGGCGTTAAGTTCAGTCTGAGTCCATCCGAGTATTCCAAAGGCATACATGAGGACAGGCATGACCCAACCGTTATATGCGTGTGTCTTATTCACACCGGAAAAAAGGCTGTTAAGCACTTTGGTCAAGCGTGCATAAAACACGACGCAAACTGTTTCATACCAGCCTCATCGATACCGATGTTCTGTGACATACCCAGGTATAGGTATTTTTGAGCCTCGGAAAGGGTTTTTAAGATGACGGGCATAGATAAGTCTATGCTCTCAGAGTTAGCAACCAACGCTAAATTCACAAGTGATGTTTAGCAATCCAAAAGAAACGACTTGAGGGAATCAACTTGAGGTCATCCATATAGAAAAGGTGGGTCACTTTTGTCCCTCCCTTCCGTAGCTGAAATCCCCTCCCGGAGCCCTCCAGTACGGTACTGAGAGGGTTCAGAGAGACACAGAACTAGATTGGACTCAGACAATCGCCCTGGAAGATACCCCTTCTTATCCTTATGTGGTTCTCCGCAGCCATCATCGATCGCCCAGATAACAAAGGATCGTACTCCACTGCCCGAGGATGTATCTAACTGTACAGTCAATCTTGTACAGCTCGAAGTCTCTCTTTAGCCATGTATGGGGCACCGAGTCGAATGCCTTTCTGTAGTCTATCCAGGCGGCGGAGAAGTTCCGACGGTTGTGTTTCACCACTTTGCCAATGACCGCGTCAATGAGGAGTGGTTCCTTGGTTCCACGACCACCGGCCCGACATCCATTTTGAGCGCGTGACATCACCTGATTTAGCTCCAGGTGATGAGTGATTCTCGCGCTCAAAATGGATGTCAGTGTCTTATATATGGTAGGTAGACACGTGATGGGGCGGTATTTGGTCGGATCTGTGGTATCCTGAACTTTAGGAACCAAGTGAGTGATCCCAGGAGTGAAGAGGATCGGGAGCGACTTCTGATCGAGAGCCTCTTGAAACTGTCGGGCGGGCACAGCGTGACACACTACGAACCCCTTCAGCTAGTAATGATGCAGCCCGTCGAGCCCCGGACTTTTCCAGTTCGGGGCCCTACGGACCACCTCAGCCACGTCTTCCGGCGTTATGGTGACGGGGTTCATAGGCGTAACACTCGCACTCTGGCTCGCCACAACTTCCATCCAAGGGTCCTCGCTGTGGTTTACGGGCACTGACCACAGGCCACGCCAAAATGCGACAGTGTCAGCCTGATTCGGTTCTGGGCCCGCTCCACATACCTCTCGTCGCTCCAATGATTTATAGAGCCTCTTCAGATCACTCTGGAAGAGACGATTCTGGTTGAACCGCCTTGACCTCTCGCTAAATCGTCGAATCCGCTTCCCCCAAGCAGGGCAAGGCATTTTTTGCTTCAGGTCATCTATGCGCTCCGTTAGTTTTTGCGTGATATCCGGCTGGGACAAACTAATATTTGTCCCAGCAAACGCCATTATAACGGTGCGCACAACTCTCGGTCTATTATTACCCGACCTGAAGCTTGTCAGTCCGCCGATAAGGGCCCTTGCCTTTGCGATACAGTCCTCGAGTCTTTTTCTCCAGGCTGGGATGGCGCTAGTTTGTCGATTAGCACGTCCAGCCATGGGAAGTTTGGCTGTTATTATAATTATTACCTTTTTATTTGTTTTTATTTTTCCCTCTGTACTGAGGGGTAAAAAACGGACACACGGGCCTTGACCAAGTGTGCACGCAGGAAAAAAAGAAAGACTTACAATGATGACGATGATGAGTTAAGAAATTTACGTGTGAGACGACAGGTCAGTAGGACAGGTTAAGTAGGACTGCTTTTTGTATAAGTGTAAGAGTGGATTTAGGCATTTGAAGCATGTTGAGGCTGGTTTGAAGGGTCTTTGGAACTACACTAGTTGTAGATATGATGATAGGAATATTATTAATAATTATTATTATTAAATTATTTTTATTGTAGTTTTATAGTTTTTAATTTTTATTTTTATTGTCATAATTACGGAAAGTCCATCTGATTTTGATGCTAGTTTTTTCTTGTGTAATTCATCTTCTACTAGTTCCTTAAGCGCGGATGCCGAGTCATCTGAACATCTTGGGCTGCATGATCATATTTCTACTATTTTTTCTCCCTACTCCATAATTTTAACGTTGCCCATATCAAAGCACAAAGTGTTCCTACCCACTATCCTAACCTTCTTGCATCCATTAGCAGTAATCTAATCGACGCACTTCTTATATCTGAAACTTTTTTCAAGACTTCTCACCCTTTTTTTCAGTTTTCACTTCTTCGTTACGTTTTGATAGGTACCTAATGATAGGACTGGTAAAGGAAGAGATGGTGTAGCTATTTACTTGCGTTCCGAAATCATATACAAACATATCTCTGCTTCACTGTCAACTTATTCTGAATCTGTTGAGTACCTTTTTCTTGAAGGTACACTTCATCACACAAAAATCCTTCTTGGTGTGATATACAACCCTAATATGCAAATTAATTATTTTGATGTATTTGAAAATTTACTTACAGACTTCTGTCCTATATATAGTCATGAGATCGTGATGGGAGATTTCAATACGTGCCTACTGAAGCATGATTCGCATGCATATAAACTAAAGTCTATTGTGGCCTCACATAATCTACAAATTTTACCCTTCTTTGCCACCCATCATTTTCCAAACTGCACTCCGTCTTTACTTGACCTTATTTTGTTTCATCTTTAAATAACATTGCAAATCATGGACAAACAAGAGCTTCTTTTTCGTACCATGACCTCATTTACATGTTGTGCCGTGATCGTCCAACTAAGCGCAAATCACATTTTCGATTTCTTCATAGCTATAAGTATAAGACTTGGAAGTCATAATATTGATGATATGGTTAACAACTTTACCACTTTAATTCTTAGATTGTATGATTGCCATGCACCTCTCAAACATATAAAAATAAAACATTGTCCTGCACCCTGGATTACGACTGAGATAAAAGAGCTTATCGCGCGTAGGGATAAAGCCAGAAGTAGATATAAACATTGTCCCTTGGAAAGAAATCTAATAAAGTTTAAGAGTCTGCACAACTGCTGCATTCGTTTGTGTAGAGAAGCTAAAAGGTGCTACTTTTATGACTCACTTTCAAATTGCGATTCAGCAAAAGCCTGGAGTTTTCTTAAAACAGTCGGCATTGGCAAACACCCTGCGCTTGGGACTGGAAATCTTGATATAGATATTCTCAATCAATATTTTTCTCTTCCACCTGTTTCCTTATCTTCATTTATAAAAGCTAAGACCCTGCTAGAATTATCCAGATGCCCATTGCAACATTCCAGCCAGTTTGAATTTGTACCAGTGTCAGAAGATGAAGTAAAGCGATCAGTGCTATCTATATCTTGTACAGCAACGGGAAACAACAAAGTTTCTTCCACAATGATAACTATGATTTTACCTTGTATTCTCCCAGTTCTTACTCACATATTTAATTTTTCATCATCTTTCTCTTGTTTCCCACACTCATGGAAGTTAGTACAAATTATTCCAACAGCCAAGGTTGCTAACCCTACATTACCTTCCGAATTACGACCTATATCTTTATTACCATTCCTCTCTAAAGTACTTGAACAATTGTTCACAATCAATTGTCTTCTTAACTTAATCACCCAACAATAATTTTAAGTATATTTCAATCTGGATTCTGGCCTGGTCATAGTACAACTGCTCTTCTTCAGGTGTAACTGATGATATCCGTCGAGCCATAGATCAAAAACAATTAACAGTACTTGTTTTATTAGATTTCAGCAGTGCTTTTAATTCTGTTGACTTAAATATCCTCTTAAAAATTCTCCAGTCTATTAATGTTTCACCTTCGGCCATTCTCTGGTTTGATTCCTATCTTCGGGGACGCTCACAATGTATCTGTTCAATGACACTTATTCCAACTGGTGTAAACTTATAATGGGTGTACACCACGGTGGCGTCTTGTCTCCTTTACTCTTCACCATTTTTATCAATTTTATAACAAAAATAATATCCTACAACTTCCATCTTTATGCAGACGATTTGCAGCTTTACCGTCACTTTGTGGCATCTGAAGCTAAATTGGTGATAGAAGCACTGAATGATGACTTGGAGAGAATTAGTCGTTGGTCCAGATCCCATGGTTTAACTATAAATCCAAGTAAGTCTCAAGCATTAATAGTAAGTAGCAGACATACTAGTAACAAAATTGATAAATGCACCCTGCCAGATGTGATTATCAATGGCACATCAATTGCGTATACTGAATCTGTGAAGAACTTGGGCTTGATTATTGACAATAGGTTGTCATGGGGTCCTCACGTAACGGACTTAAGCAGAAAGTCTATTAAGCTTTCCACTCGTTAAAACAACTTCAAAGTTTTACAAAAATCTCTCTTGTTCAAACTCTTATTTTGCCTATCTTAGATTACGCTGATGTCTGTTTTTTGGATGCCACAGAGGAGCAATTAAACAAACTTGAGCTATTGCAAAACCTTTGCATTCGGTATATTTTCGGACTCAAGAAGGTTGACCACGTCTCTAAATATAGAAAGCAACTCAAGTGGCTTCCTATCCGATTTCACAGGAACCCTTGTATCCTTTATCTCCTTTTTAATATCCTACACAGCCTAAACTTCCCTACATACCTCCGAAATCGATTCACCTTTTTTAAATCCCCAGATACAGTTTGTAGATCTCACCTTAAAGCCCTCTTAAAATTCCCATCCTTTAATGCTCATTCATATTCCCGTTAATTCTCCGTACATGCAGTAACACTCTGGGTTTCACTCCCTGCTCCCATTCGAGAAATCAAAGCAGTGACATTGTTCAAAAACGACTGAAAGAACATTATTTATCGCTGTATGTTTATATATTTAATTATGACTTTATATTATATTAAGTATTTATGTATGTATTTATGTGTGCTTAAGTATGAATATATTTATGTAATTGTATGTATATATAAGTATTTGTGCTGACGTATGTATTTATTTTATCCCTATATGTGTTGTATAATAACAAAGTGCAAACCTTATAATCATTTATTAATCATATATCTTTGAAACTGGCCTACTGGAAGAAATTCCATTATGAGATAAGTAGAGCCTTTGTACAAACTTTTTAACTTTATCATCATTTGTTCTCTACCTTACTTGTGTGTACATAAATTGTTAAATAAATAAATTTTTGACGCCCCTTAGAAGTTTCGCCTCTTTTTGGTTTCTTTCCTCATGACGTAGCACTCTTTTTCTGTCTATAATACGTATTTCTTTAGAAATAGGTGATTATGGTATGTTATGGTACAAACGTGAAAGGGTACTAATGTGTTACAGTAGAAAGGGTATATATAGGCAGTACAATTACAGGCTATGAGGAATTTTATTTTGGCCCTCCGAGATGACAACAAAATTATAGCCTTTGTTTGAAGTTGGCCGCAGGTGTCCACGGACTGCAGGAGCTGCTTACCATCAGGTAAAAAGTAAGTTTGTAAACTGAAGGACTGACCTTCAGTTTAAAAAAAATGGTAAAGTTTAGGATTATGGCAAATTTTCCCTACTAGGAAGCCCATGTCTCATTTTTACAGACTAACAAGGAATTGGAAATTTATTGTATTAAGAAATGCAGGGATTTGATAGTTGACCATAGCTAGGGAATATGCCTTTATGAAGCTCTATGTTCACCAGAGGGCTTGTGATAAGCTGTAATGATGATTATGATGATAAATAATATTATTATAACAGTAAAATATAGTCATAGGTAGTTAAGTTTTATTACTGTTGAGTTTTCATTATAGATAGTTCTAGAAACTAGAAATATTTTTCTAATTACAAGTACAACCTATTTTAAAAACTTTGTAATTATATAGAGAATTATAAAACAGAATTAAAAATAATTCAGTTGTATAATATTCAATACTTACTAGCTTCTTTAAATTCTTGTATCTTGGCAGCATCATACACTCCCCTCTCTTGCCAAATAGATAATATTCTATGGAGTGAATGTTTGGTTTTTGCATTAATTCCTGTCTTGGCCATGTGTTGAAATGATTCAACAAGCACTTCTCCAAATTCCTTTCCGTACTCTGGACCTTTCTTTTTACTATTCTGTATGACATCATTAGCAAGATACATAAAAGTGAGTTGTTTAGTATCTTTTGCTAGAACATAAACATTTTATGTCACATTCAACATTCAAATCCAAAATTAATAAATAAATTCATACCTAAATATGTTTTTACAAATTAATACAAAATTTAATTTCCATACACCATTACTGTAACCGTCACAGTCAATTAAGGTCTATTTCTGAACATAGGCCGCCTCCAAAGATTGCTTCACAGGAGTGATATTTGCCATAGTTACTACAATTGGCAGTGGGTGAGTAACCACAATTTTTTTTTAGTTTTTTTTGTCATTATCAGGAAGATGTTGCGACCCATTTGATTTGTTTCCCTCTGTTGCCTCTTGCAACACCCATGGGATGATATGGAATAGTAGATATTCTTACACCAGTGCAATACAAGAAAAAAGTTTTCTATACACACTGTAACCATGTCAATGATCCAATCGCACAATTTCTCGGGAAGCCCATAGGAAGGGAGCTTCGAAAGAAGCACTTTGTGCCAGACCCGATCGAAGCTGTCACTCAGAGCAAAAAGTTTCCAAAAACAAAAAATAATCCATCCTTAAATGTAGGTGATTCTCTGTTCTATTTAACTCATAGATGGGCGGAGACAGTAAAGTCCAGGTATTGGACATAGCTTGGACATAGCCAAGGCCTTCGATCAGGTTTTGCACAAAGCGCTTTTTTCGAACCATTTTTTTTCATGGGCTTCCTGAGCATATGTCAATATAGGGTACTTTTATACTATTGCGGTCACCTCGTTTTTTGGCTCTAGAAAATCGGAAAGTCATCCGATTTCGATGATTTATTTTTAAAATCTTCATTCAAGAACAAAAAAAAAATGAAAATTTATATTGTTAATTATTTATATATAATTATTTAAATCTTCATGAAAATGCACTCATTCACGTAAAATCGTTGATAACTTTTTTTAAATAATCGAATGAACTAGTTGTATTTTTTTTCATAATCTACTCAAAAAAATTAACATTTAAAAAAATGTTTCTTTATTAATTTTTAGTTTTGGTTTCTATTGTGTGTAAGATCGAGCAATGCGAGCTCTTGACTTATGATATACCGACTCGGACACGTTAGATTAGAAAGAGATAGGGGTCGAATGAGCGAGCGAAGCGAGCGAATAGACCGCGCCGTCTTATTCGTGGTTATTTTTTTTATAAACCACTCAGAAGTAGGAGCCCCGCTTTTCGCTTGCTCACTCGACCCGCTATCTACTTCTAACCTCACCTGTCCGTGACAAGATAAGCCCTTAAGTACCAAGCTCGCTTCACTAAAAAATTAATAACTAAACATTATAATGTGATTTTATTTTTTAATTTTTATTGATATTTAGATTAAGATATAGCAATCATTGTCAAATATTGCATAATTTTATTTTGTTACAAAACTTTTTCGAGGATAATATAAGTTATTGATTTATTTTTGAATATAATACATAGTTAATTCTTTACATTTTGGTCTTTTCCGCAAAAACGAAGATTTTAAGAAAAACTCATTGAAATCAGATGATTTTTCGATTTTCTTGAGTGTTTATGATAACATTTAAAGTCAAAAACTTAGTGAGATAAAAAATTAATAAATAAACATTTTTCAATGCCTTTTTTTCTTAAAATGATTATTTTTCGTGTAGTTTAACAAAAAAAAATTTACAAACTTCGTTTAATGCTTGGTAAAAAGTTATAAATAATTATATTCGAAGTGTGTTTATGATCACATTTAAAGTCATAAAAGTATATGAAATCTTGAGGTGAGATATTTTCCATATTTTTGACGAAGATTTTTAAAAAAATCATCGAAATTGGACAATTTTTTGATTTTCTAGAGCCAAAATATGAGGTGACCACGATAGTATAAAATTACCCAATATAGATTTAACTGTGTGTATATTTGATAAATGATAATTAAAATAAAACAAAGCACATATGTGGTATAGCCACGCTGCAGCTATATTATGGTTGCAGCACAAATGGCTCAACTCAACCAGGGAAGGACTCCGCTCTCACAGAATACCAGCGTAAAATAGCAGCTTAATACTGCTGTGGGTTAAACTATAGACATCCAGTACTCACATATGGTGGTGGGAACGGGAGGGGTGAGGGGGAGGTTTCAGGGGAAGCTCCCCCTACCCTTCCCAATTTATAGAAATGTATAGTTTATGAGTAATAATTTTTTTTTGTAAAATCATAACCACTTTTTTACACAGGAATATTGACACAAAGTTACTTCTGCAACGGCTTCGGCACTGCGGAAGTGCAGCCCCTTCGCCCTTACATAGCAAATCACAGGCACCAATGCTCGCCTCCGCAGCCTCAACTTATTGGTTGCCTTCGCCTCATCTACGGCTTTACAAAAACACTCTAGGGGTAGGGCAGACAAGACTATGTGAAGTCAGAGCGTGCTAATTGGGTTTTAGAATCGATTCAACCAATTGTGTCCATTAAGTCAGGTTGCCCTAAGCTCTGCTATGATAGTGGTAAATGAAATAATGTAATGTGATTATTTTGTTTTCTAATAGCATCATGATAATTTTGTTATCTGCAAAACCTCTTGACTACTCTCTACTGTGACTCAATTTGTTGTATATGAGTCCCATCTTCAGCCACAAATGGATTATCTGGGTCCGAGTGATTAACTTTTTTATGAGTGTAGTGTAGTAGTGTTAAAAAACTAATTGACATATTTGCGTTTCGTTATATGCAATTTTTAGTGAAATTTATTTTTATTGTAATTAATTAAAAAGGCATTTCCAAAATCCAAAAACAGTGTAAAAGGTTCGAGCTTAACCCTGACAAGCCTTCTAAACTGAAAACAATTAAAATCAAGTACAGGATATCTATAGCTAACCCCTGCTGTGTTTTCATATGGTGAGTGTCCAGAGAGATCCAGAGACCCTTTTTTTACTAGAAACGAGGCATTCCATCTTAGTATTCAGATGTGACAACGCATCTGCGTTTTGATTCTTAATCGAGGATAAATGTAGATGTCTATGGGCCACAGCATCCACTTACCATCACATGGACTGTGTGCTTGTTAGTCTTATTCTATAAAAAATTGTTTTTAATAATGGAACTGCACGTTTTCCTATAAATACAAGTAAAGAAATATTTAAAAATAAAGTAACTTGAAATAATAAAAATTGACATAGCAATAATATAGGCCGCGTATGGTGGCAGTTTATCGGTTTCATTACCCCTATTTCGTTCCTTGGGTTACGTAAAGGCAGTACAACTATGTCGTTTGCAGACGTTTACCCAGACCAATGACGGGCAGTGGCGTCAAATGTGCCAGAAGTTTAGCAATAGATAGTCAATCCGCCTGCAACGCGTGACGATTAAGACAAAACCTCACTACAACGCAAGCAGTGGAATTTGTGAACTCTTGTTTAGCAGAGGAATTTTACGAGTCGATAATGAAGAATAATAAGAATACAGGTTACCTTTTAGCAATTCTTTGAACCAAGTCTTAACTACGGCGGCATGGTGTTTGCGATGATGTATTAACCACAAGGATAAAGTTTGAATACTTTGTTGGCTAGAATTCAATTCTTGTAGTTTACGAATTAATGCGTTCTCTGTAAAACCTGCCATGTTACAGTTAAAATTAGTTCTAACAACAAAATTTACGACATTCACCGCAAAATATTTTGACAGTTACTACGTACGCTTGTATATCTTATATGTAATAGTCTCTTATACATAGTGTATTATCTATGGGTAATAGTTTGTGGCTTGAAATGTTTGACTATAGAAAAAATAGTTATACAAGTATTGAGGCTTATCGACTTCGACCTGATAAGAATACTGCCATCTCTTTTTAACCTTATTAATCTTGTGTAAGTGAAAAAGGATGACAGTGTTTTGATAGCTGCTATAATCGCAACCGAGTCGTCATTTTATCCTCCCGCTCACGCTCTTAATACCACAGAGTACATTATATATATTTAGTACCAAAGTTGTATACCATACATAGACTGCCCTATATAGTATATTATCTATGACATAGACCAAGGGTATTTCAATGTCGTTTCAGAAAAAACGCTAGCAAGCGCTTGTAAGCAAATTGATCGTAACGTAGCGCTGTCAAATCGTAAGTAGCTATTTTCCTCTAGGACACGATGTTAGTTTTAACCGGGGAACCTAACCTAATTTAAATATATGTTTGTAAAGTATTCATATTAAAAACTTACTAATCATGAATTTTTCGAATAACATGTATATTATGTTTATTCATGTCATTATATTACTTAAAACTAATATTGCACAAAAACAACTTATAAACTCTACTTCAAACAACAAATTAAATAAGCAAAATGGCGGATTGTGTCAGCTACTAGTACCAATCGTTTCCTGGACCGAATAACTATTACAGCGCTTATGACGTCGTTTGCTACACTGCGCTGTTTTTCGGCCAACACACCCACTATGTTTTTATTTTTATATATATATATATATATATATATATATATATATATATATATATATATATATATATATATATATATATATATATATATATATATATTTAGGGTTGGATAATGGATGGTACGTTAACAATCACATTACTTCTTACACTCCATAAATCACATGCTCTTGTGCTGTTGATGTTCGTACATATGTTGTACTTTAATTACACAAGTATATAGTGATTAGTGATCTGTGGTTGTCTGGTTATTGGACTGATTAATGGATTAATTAATAAATTTGCTGTGTTATTGCGTTTAAACTTGGTTCAAGTTCAATAATAGCAATTTTCAATAGCAAGATGCGCAATTGCAATATGATTGGATGTGGCAGAAATCACCCTAACGTAACTTTACACCAGTACGTACATTTTAGCTGAAATATCTTTAGATAAAAAAAAAACAAAAGATTCTGCATTCGTTGAATAGTTTCAACAGTAGTATTTCATGAAATCATTTTCTTGATTTTGAAAAGATGGAGTAATGCATTTAGACCTTGATATTTATCGATAATGCTATTTTATGGTTCTTTCTGGTTCTATGTTTTACTTTCAAGACTGCCTGCTAATAAATGAAGAAATAAAATTTGTCTGGAAACAATTGGTGTTGAAAATTTAAAGATGTCAACAAAAACAATTGGTATCCATCCAAAACAAAGAAATATGTCTAGGCTCCTTCAAACATAGGAGCTGCTTTTGACAGAACAAACTTCTCCAGCATTAAAGGTGCACTAAGTAGAAATAATGTTGAACCGGCACTGTTTGACTGGATAGTAAACATGCTCAGTACACAAACAATTAAGATTGCTAGTGAATCTCAGACAATTCAGACCATGAAAGGATGCCCGCAGGGTGAGGTTCTTTCACCTCTCCTGTGGAATATGGTCATTAATGAACTCATCAGCAAATTAAATGCTAATTATTTCCACACGGTTATGCAGATGATCTCAAAATATTGGTCTCTGGAAAGACATCAAGCATTGTGTGCGACCTGACCCAAGCGGCTCTCCGTATTGTGGAGAGATGGTGCAAGGAATATGACCTAACCAAACAATAACCAATAATAATCCAAACAAAACAGTTCTAGTAATGTTCACACAAAAGCGAATGCTGAAATACTATCATCTCCCAAGTCTTTTCAGCACAAAACTCCAGCTATCCTTTGAGGTAAAATACTTAGGTCTTACCTTAGGACAGTAAACTTAACTGGAATAAACACATAGAAAACAAAATCAACAAAGCTAGTTTTAAAGTTTCTGGCAATGCAGAAACATGATTGGCAAACGATGGGGTTTGACGCCAAAAATTATACTGTGGCTGTACAAACTGTAATTCGGCCCATGATCACATACGGCTCTCTGGTATGGTGGACCAAAACTAACGAAGCCACCACTATACGAAAGCTTCAGCGTTACCAGAGATTGGCTTGTATAGCTGCCACGGGCTGCGTAAGAACTACACCAACAACAGATTTAGAGGCTATACTGGAACTTAACACCGCTTCATCTACATATACAACAAGAAGCAACTTTAGCTGCCATTAGACTTAAGACCCTAAATCTTTTAAGTAAGAGTAGTCCCCTGTACAGGTGTAATTGATAGAATTTACTTAACAAGTGCTATCGCAGGACATGGCTCTTTTAATAAACATTTATTTACCATAGGTGTTACTGATAGCCCCCTGTACAGGGCATGCATGGTAGAGGACGAAACGGCGGCTCATGTGTTGCTGACATGTCCAGAAGTCGCTTCATACAGGGCTAAACATCTCGATACACGGGGATTGCTCCCCGAAGTTGCTTGCAACATCAAAGGACTGTTGAACTTCTTTGGGAAGATATCATGGCTCGAATAATCACATTATTCCTGCCCACACGCAAAATACGCGCTTAGACGTGGAGTTGCGGAAAACAGCCTGTCGTAAACCAAACTAACAATTCGTATTTGTTCCCTTCACTTTCAAGAATCATGTTTCGACCAGACACTGAATAAAGTAACATTGTATGACGACACTTTACCTTCACAAACCTTATCAGTATGTATTATTACATGTTATAAATTTGTCCAACATGATTGCGTAGTGGCTGATAAATTGAGTGGTGATGACATTAATTGAAACCACATAGACCTTACATGACTGGACTCCACTGCATTGAAATATTTCATCAGTTATTTAAAAAATATGATATTCCATACATTTTGACTGTGTAGGTGTTACACTTTTGTAGGAAACAGCAGATTTTTTTTAATAACTGAGTAAATTTTAATGCAGAAGGGTCCAGAATTATGAACTGAACATGTGGTTTAAAAGAATTGTTCTGTGGTGGACTAGTATAATGGACACAAATAGTGATGTAAATAATGTGTTCGAGTGTGGTCTTAAGATAAATAAAAAATCATATTAATAAAAACAAGAAACATCAAAAAAGGTACTAATCATTTTATTGTTTGTTTACAGCCTGCAATTTGATCAAATATGTCTGGCATTTTAATTGAAAGTGGTCACAATCAAACAATCTCACAATCAATATCTGGATGTGGTGCTCCTATTATGGTAATTTTTTTCTTATTAAAACGTCAGGGTCACCCTACTATTTTTGAAGTCATACAATTTTTTAGTATTTACTTTTCTATTTTTATTAAATTTATGTTAATAATAAAGAGTGGTTTTCAGGTTCAATATTTTTGTGTGCCTACCATTCAAAATCAATCTAGAGATTTCAAAAAGGAGTGGCATAGATTTAGCCCCTAGCCAAAGACATTTAAGTGGTAGTTATAGACCTGACATCAGCAATAAAAGTATTGTCTGTAACTTTTGTGCTCTAGGATATAATACCTCCAATTTTTGTCCTTTAGTCTTAGTGACATCATTAAAAGGTCAAGATGCATTCGTTTCATAAATTAAAAACAAAATTAAAAGAAAATATGCCCACTTGTGCATTAAGGTATTGTAAGTCACGATATGTAGCAAAAAATGAACACAATTTCAGTTTATTGTAGTAAGAATAATGTATATTTACCAAATAATCTTTAAATATCATTATATCTAGTAGATTGTTCTAGAAAATTTACTATTATTGTAATAATAATAAAATTTAACAGTGGTAGAGCCACGCGGCAGCTTTGCTGTTGCATGTATGTGGCTCAAACCGGGGTGGTACCATGACTTCACAGAATACTGGCGTGAAGTGGAAGCATTTCGTCTGGTGAGTGCAGGTATCCGAAGGCCCAAATACCCCTCCCCCCATCAACATGGTAGCGGAATTGAATGACAAACTACCCCAGGAGGTTACCAGCACCCCTGGAGAATCCCTCGCTGAGAATCCACGACCAAGTTACTCCAGTCCTGAGCGTGGGTGTTCAGGCTTCCCCGCGTATTCTGGGGGGGGGGGGCAAAGACCACGACGATCCCTGCCACGCTATCCGTGAATTTCTGCAATATCAGGGGACTTCTCTAACCCCACTCTCCAGCTGATGTCTCGTATCTCTCCTGTCTGGGGTACAAACTGGAACACTCCTTTGTGCCTCGGGCTGAAGTTTGCGTTTACGTCAGAGAGGACATCTGTTCTCGACGCCTCGGCAGTCTTGAAGATTCGGACCTGTCCATGCTATGGCTACGCGTAGACAGCGACGACCATCCGCGCGTCTACGGGTGCCTCTATAGGTCCCATAGCGGTAATGCCGAAACAGACCGACTCTTCGACCACGTCCAAATGGCTACAGATTTGTTGCTACAGCACATCTGCTCTCCGCAGAGATCGTGATCCTCGGCGACTTTAACGCCCATCACGCCGAATGGCTTGGTTCACGTTTAACCGATCATGCGGGGAGATCTGTTCATGATTTTGTCTTGGCATATGGTCTGACACAACTGGTTACTTCACCTACGCGGATTCCAGATGTGGAGGACCATGCACCTTCCCTGTTGGACCTTCTGCTGACCTCACCCGGACGGATATCAGATTTTCGTCGACGCCCCTTTAGGCTCCTCGGACTATTGTCTTGTCCAGAGTGTGGTGCCACTCACGCTGAAATCGCAGTTGCATTCTGCAGGCTGCCGCCGTGTTTGGCACTATAGGTCAGCCGATTGGGATAGGATGCGGTCTTTCTTTGCATCCTACCCTTGGGA